ACAGAAACCATCAGCACAAGACAGCACAGAGGAAGCAGAAGAAGCCAAAGAAAAGCTGAAAAAGACAGTGAAAGTAAACAGGCTGAAGGGAGGAATAATTTTAAAGAGCTGAAAACTAAAGATTGGAAGAAGACAGGCAAAAGGATTAGAAGAAGAGTAAAAGGTCATTAAATGATCAATAAGGTACAAGAAGATTTGAATTGGCAACTTCTGGATCTACAGTCAAAGACCACAGGCTTTTAGGTTGCAGAGGAATACTTTGCAAAAATCTGAAGGGGCTGAAATGCCAGTGACCAGTAGATGGAGCCATATTTTTTGCTCCATTCATTTCAATGAGAGGAATAAGGCATAAAAGGTTAATTATTTTAAAAAGTTGAAGAGATTTGAACAACAAAAGTCATAGCTGCATAGTCCTGAGATAGATGAACATTTTGACACCCCATTTGTTGAAATAGGAAGAACAGTGTAGGAGTAGTTTGACGCAGAAAAACCCGTGGAATAATTCAAAGAAACAGGAAAGAAATAGTGAGAATGCCTGTAGTCATTCTCACAATAACTACAATATGGCTGGTCCTGCGGAACAGCTGTGAGAATGCCATGTGGTGAATGGAGGAAGAAGGAGAAGAAGCCAAAGTAAAGCTGAAAAAGACAGAGTGGAAGAGAAAAGGTTGAAGGGAGGAATAATTTCAAAGAGCTTAAAACTAAAGACCGGAAGAAGGTAAAAGGATTAAAAGAAGAGTAAAAAGCTATTGAGTGATCAATAAGGTACAGGAAGATTAGAATGGGATTTGAATGAGCGACTTCGGGACCTGCAGTCAAATGCTCTACCACTGACCTATACAACGGGTCGACAAGCTTCAGAGGAATACATAGGAAGAATTTGAAGGGGCTGAAATGCCAGTGACTAGTAGAGGGAGGCATATATTTTGCTCCATTCATTTCTATGAGAGAAAATAAAAGCAGAAAAGTTAAATAGCTTAAAAAGTTGAAAGGATTTGATCACCAAAAGTCACAGCTGCATAGTGCTGAAGGAGCTGAACATTTTGATACCTTATTTGTTAAAAAAGGCTGAAAACTGTGGGCGTAGTTAGACACGTAAGTGAAACAGGAAAACAATAGTGAGAATGCCAGTAGGCATTCTCACAATAACTAGCTGCAAAACAGCTGTGAGAATGCCAAGTGGTGAATGGAAGAAGAAGGAGAAGAAGCCAAAGAAAAGCTGAAAAAGACATTGAACTGAAGAGCTGAAAATTCAATGATTTTAAAATCACCAGAAGATGGCGCCAGAAGATAACAAACAAAAGCTGAAACACAAGTAAAGAGCCCAGGTGGATCCACTCAGAAACACGAACAGCTGAAGTAGTTTGGTCTTAAGTGGGTCAAAGCTTGAAAGACAAAAACCATCAGCACAAGACAGCCAAAGACAGAAGAAGCCAAAGAAAAGCTGAAAAAGACAGAGTGGAAGAAAAAAGGCTGAAGGGAGGAATAATTTTAAAGAGCTGAAAACTAAAGAATGGAAGAAAGGTAAAAGGATTAAAAGAAGAAGAGTAAAAGGCCATAAAATTATAGACAAGGTACAAGATGATTTAGGTGGGATTTGAACCGGCAACTTTTGTTGAAAAAACTTTTAAAAAATTTGAACACCAAAAGTCATAGTTGCATAGTCCTGAGATAGCTGAACACTTTAACACCTTATTTGTTGAAATAGGCTGAAAGGTGTTGAAGTAGTTAGACAAAGGAAAATGTACAGAATATGGAATATTAAAGAGAAACAGGAAAACATTGTGAGAATGACAGTGGGCAGTCTCACAATAAAGAGAAACAGGAAAACAATAGTGAGAATGCCTAATCGTGGCATACAGCACAACCTCCCCAGAAGCCAGCTACCAGATAACCAAACCATTTCGAAACTGGAACTCGGCCTGCCCTCCTGTCTGCCCTCCAACAGTACCAGCTCCTGTTTTTCCGGACTACCTTCCTCTGACCGGATGTGGACTGGTTATTCCTTCCTACAACACACTTCCCAGCACCACCACAGAACGTTGTACAATAAATATTGTTGAAGGTCTCTGGTCTCCGGAGTGGCTCTCTGCATGTGGGTCAAGATGCTTCCTCGTTCCATGACAAGGAATCTGTTTTGTTGTCTCTAGATGAATTGGACTCATTTGGAGTTTAACCCTGTAACACCACATGTTTCATATCTGATGCACACGGTTTTCTTTTGCATCATTTAATAGTAAAAACTTTGCTCCAAACCATTTTGCACACAATCAGATATACCTTATAACAGCAGGCAGAAGACTACAGACAATAATTTTGACAAGTAAATTATGGATATTCAAATATGTTTTCTGTTTATGTTTTCAAATATAGGGCCAAATAAAGATATCAGACTAAAAAAATGACAATTTTCTCACTGTAATTGGATCAGGATTTAAAGGGTTAATCGACTCAACTGATTAAATTCTAATTTGCCTGGATGGAACAATATCTTTGAGGTGCCTGAGGTTAAATCTGTTGTGATTTGGAGTTATGGAGTGGCCCTTTTTAGTGTAAAAAATTATTTAAATTGGATTTATTCTCACATCTTGATCCTGTGCAGCTGTTCCCTAAGACAGATGAGCAGCACTGGACATCCTTCTGTTTCTGGTCTTTCCGTCTCTTCTTCTGATAAGTTGCTAGGCTCTGTGTTAGGCTCTAACTGAGCTTGGTGTCTGATGCAGAAACAGCTGAGCCACCAGCAGGTGGCAGCACAGGCTGACAGACGGGACAATAATCTAGCACCAGGGACTGGTCTGAGGGCTTGTTATATAGTCAGAGGTGCAGGTGGCTCTGGTGAAGGCTGATGAAAAAGGGACAGAGCTACACAGGTGTGTTGGATAATTGATCAAACCAGTTCTAGTGCCAAGATCATGACAAAAACTGTAAAAGCGAAACCAAGAAAAGGAACACAGGGTTCATCACTTGCAAGAGAGCTGTGGTATGTCGTTAATGTGTACGTCTACAGTTTTGACAAAGGAATCATAGATCTGCAATCCAACATTCACACAAAGCCTGAATGTAGATAAGTCAGTTTCCCTCAGATAAACAAAATCAGCAGCAGCTTGTTTAAATAGCAGCAAACCTTTTGAGCACAATCCTGCTAACACTTGAAGGTTATTAAACTCCAAAGGGGACAAACTGCTTTTTTTCACTGAAGTCATCTGACCTTAAAGTGGGAGGATCTCTGATGTCATGATGGTGTTCTTCCACCTTCCTGCTGTTTAACACTAAACCACCACACTTACTGACTGATGGCTTACACAGGTAGGACTTTCTCTGTTTGACTATTTGCAGAACTTAGAAACATCAGTTTAGGATTAATTCTATGAGAAGATGTTCCCAGAAATGATTTGTGAGCTATTGTACAACTATAAGCCATCAGCTGTTTGAGCCACAACAGAAAACAGGAAATAGACGAGTGGTGATTCCAAAAGATCCATGCAGGCAGCTAGTTGGGGGAAAACTTAAAGATGAATTCTGGCGTCTAACTGGGTAAAGTAGGGTTGTTTTGTCTAAAGTTTGAGTTTATCTGGCCACAATGTGGAAACATCCAGATGGTTGTCAACGAATGGTCTTTTCTCTCAGTATAACTTCATGAAGATTTTCAACCCTCAGAAATTCCTGCTACATGTGGCATCATGACTTTCAGGATGCTGTTATTTCAGGTCTTCTTTCCTATAGACTGTAGGGTGCCAAGTGGGTCTGTTTGGAGCCTTTAATGCTTTTTTTCTGTCATGTCTGCACTCCCTTTTTTTCATACTAAATTATGTTTTTATTGCTCAGGAGTTCAGATATTTTATTAGAAAGACAAGAAAAACAGTGAACTCTAAATAGACTGGGAACTAGAAAATAATGTCAAACATCCATCCATCCATTTTCTATACCGCTTATTCCTCAAAGGGTTTTTGGGGGGCTGGAGCCAATCCCAGCTGCCAACAAGCGAGAGGCGGGATTCACCCTGGAAAGGTCAGTCCATCAATGGAACACGCAGAGACACACAACCACATTTACTCCTAGGGGCCTCTTAATGTCCAGTTAGCCTACCAAGCATGTTTTGGTGGGAGGAAGCCACACAGACATAGGTAAAAATGTAAACTCCACACAGAAAGGTCCTTATTCCACTAGGGATTTGAACCAGGAACCCTCTTTACTGAAAGCAACCGTCCAAACCGTGACATGGTTCTTGGTCGACATGACTCAGTGATTTTTAATCATATTACATAAAGAAGGTGAGATGCATTTCTTGTGGAAAACAACAGCCCTTTAATGTCCTGTTTTTTTCCTTTTTTTATAGCCGTTTAACTTCCAATGTAAAACTTTGTTTATTTTTCCAAAATAACAAAAAATGAGAAAGTAAGAAAACAAAAAAAATATACAAATCCTCAACAATTTTAACCAGAACAACCAAAAACTGCCCAAAAAAACGAAAAACCCAGAATTTCAGAATTAGTGTTTCTTTATCTGTGTTACTACCAGACCCCCTAACTTTAATAAATCCGCCATTCACGTTTCCCAATGGTTATGATGAGACAACGTGAGAGAATGATTGAGTTTTTTATTCTCTTAACATGCATTATGTTCTTTCTACAGGTGTTTTAAAAGTGGTAGATGCAGAAAACCCAAAACCGATCATGAATTACTTCTAGTGCTGATGCAACTTGCATGAGTCATGGCATCAAACCAAAAGGCACACACACATTTCATGTTGATAAATGACATTATTATTCGATTGACAACGAATTATCGGTGCCCTCACATCACTGCTCCACTGTAAGAAAACAAAGAGCTGCTGCCACAGCTGGTGGGAATGGGAGTACAGGAGGATCTCTGGTTAAACCAGCTCTGCTCATTGTTTGGGACTCAGGAGGCCTCTGAAATTGAAGTTATTTTATCAGCAATCAGTCAGATTGATTCATTCACCTGCTTTTCTTTTTCTGTCCTTTTGTAAAAAAACAGTTACTTTCTACAGAGTGTCTCATGGAGCTTCCTTTGGTGCTGATCAGCAGCTGCTGGATCAACTCAATGAATCTCCTCATTTCTATCTAAAAGAAGCAGATCTGCATACATGTCAGATTATTTTTGTGTTCTGTACCATCAACACTCGCATATTGTCAGATGTGGAGGCTGCAATGGAACAAATCACAGGTAATATGAGGACAGAAAGTTATATGAAAACATTAAACATTATCCATACAACATGTGCTTTGGTTTGATTATAGGATTTGAATCGTACAATCAAACCAAACTATAAAATAAAATGCTTCACATCCAACAGCAAAACTGGTTTTAAAAACTATCTTTGCAGTGTTTAATGAATAGAATAAAAATAATGTCTTCTAATCATCCTCCCTGAGCCTTTACAGTTAATTTCTAACTTTGTTTTTCTCTGGTTTAATCTCAGAATCAGCTGGTGATAAACCTGTGATTCTTGTTGTGATGCACCACACCAGAGACATCAACTTTACAACAACACGGAAGAAATGGAAAGATAAATATAAACGGGTTCAGCTTGATGTTGAAGTTCTCTTTCACAGGAGTGAAGGAGGCTTACTGAGATGTGAGAAGAACAAACAAGCTGTTGAAGATATAAGAAGAAATGTTCAACACATAAGAAATAAAGTAGAGCCAAAATGGTTTAAAGAAGTGGAGAAAGGAGGGACTGAGAGTGAAGGAAAGGAGGAGAGGAAAGAGAAGGGAGTGCCATGGGTTTACATGTCTTTGTTCTGTTTCCTGTTTTGTTTTGTAATACTTTCTGTCTTGTTGTTCCATTTCCTCCCGTATCATTACCCGACTCCTCCTTAATCACCTCCACCTGTGCCTCATAGGCTCCTCCACTGACTTTTGTATATTTTATGGTCTGTCTCTTGTTCGTTGCATTTTCGTATTTGTCCATATTGTCAGTCGTTCAAGCATTGTTCTTGTCTTGTCTTGCCTAGTGATCCTGACCTTTGCCTGCCATCTTTTGTACTGTCTGATTCTTTTTGCCTGTACATGTACCGACAATTTTCTAATAAATGAGTGTGATTTGGGATATCCTTGCCTGGAGTCGTGGATTTAAGTCCTAGTGTTCCAAGTGTGATAGGGGGGAGGAAAAGAGGAGAAAGATGAGGGAGGCAGAGGGTTCTGGGTTGGAGTCCCGGGGGAACCAGGACCTTTCTGGGTGGAGTTTGCATGTTCTCCTGTGTTTGTGGTTTCTCTCCGGGTTCTCCGGCTTCCTCCCACCATCCAAAAACCTGCATGTTAAGTTGGTTGGACATTCCAAATTGCCCTTAGCAATGAGTGTGTGTGGTTGTTGGTCCTTGTGTGTCTCTGTGTGGCCCTGTGATGGACTGTCGGACTGTCCAGGGTGACCCCGCCTCTCCATATTGACTACTGGAATAGGCTCCAGTTCTCCCTGCAAACTTGAATAGGGAAAAGGTGGCCACATGTAGCAGCAATTTCTGAAGGTTGAATAATGTCATTGTGTTTACTGGACAACCATTCTTCCACATTTTGACCAGATAAATTGGGAATTGTTGGGTTTCTGTAATTAACTTCAGAGTAGGGTCTGACCTGCTCTGTTTGGAAAGCTGTGAGACAACTGTTGTGATGTGGCGCTACATAAATAAAATTGAATTGAATTTAATTGAATAAACTCAAACTTTAGATAAAACAACCCAACTTTATCCTGTCAGATACCAGAATGTATCTTTCTTTTTCTCACAAATAGCTGCCTGCATGGATCTTTTAGTATCATCACTCGTCTATTTCCTGTTTTCTGTTGTGGCTCAAACAGCTGATAACAGCTCATAGTTCTACAATAGCTCACAAATCATTTCTGGGAACGTCTTTCTGGGAAAGTCCTACCTTTGTTACCTATCAGTCAGTAAGTGTGGTGGTTTAGTGTTAAACAGCAGGAACGTGGAGGAACACCTTCATGACATCAGAGATCCTCCCACTTTAAGGTCAGATGACTTCATAGAAACAAATTAGTTTGTCTCCTTTTGGACTTTAATAACCTTCAGGTGTTTGCGTGTTCCTGCTTGACAGGCTTGTTACTATTTAAACAAGTTACTCCTGAATTTATCAGAGAGAAACTGACTTGATCCACATTTCGCGCTTTGTGTGAATGTTGGATTGCAGATCTATAATTAGATGAACACAGTAACCACATACCACAGCTCTCACGTAAGTGATGAGTGACACACCCAGTCGTCATTTTCTTGGTTTCGCTTTTCCTCTTTCGTTCAATTTGTTTCAAAACAACAGCAGCAGCAGCAGCATCATGTATTCATAAAACTTTAGCAACACATTAACAGCAAACAAGCAAAAACACTCAACGAGAGGTTTCTTTCAGAGTTTTAGTTGATCTGCTCTGGTGTTATTTTGATGTTCAGACATCACACATTGAACAGTTGGATCAGACAACTTGGGATATTCTTCTTGAATTTTTATGATACAAAGAACATTTGAGACAGATACTCTGAGTATTTAAATTCTGATTTCCATTAAAGGGCAGTACAGTTTAACAGAATTATTAGGAAGAGCTGTTTCATCTTGAAACCTGTGAGGAATCCCCTCCAGCATCTGCTGTCAGCTGCCCTCTTACAGGCTTCCTGGTGTCACAGTGCTGGTTTGCTCCTCTTTATGTCCTCTCAGCCTCTAGAACCCCCATTTGGTTCTGGTTCTGATGGAGGTTTGATCCTGGTTCTGGTCCAGGATGAGGATTAGATCAGAGAAAAGTTTCAGAACCATCTGTTGGTTTCCTTTGATAGGAAACCTTTTTTTAATTGGCTCTGAATTAATTGGACTTATTTTGATTATAATGAAATGGGATTAATTATATTGTGATCATATTATGATTAATTGTGTCTTTGAAGTGCCAAGAGATTTTGTTTGTTGCTTTTTTAATTCAATCTACTTTAATTGAAAAGTTTAAGCTGTAAGGTAGACACCATAAAAAACACACTTTCACTTGGTTTTAAGTCTCAAAAACTCTTGTGAGTTTGATCTGTGTTTTTCTGGGCTGCCTGAACTCAGCTGTGAACTGACAACAACAACAACCTTGAAGGTACAGACAGTTTGACAGGGTGTTAAGAGTGAACAGAGTGAGTGGTAAAGGAGGAGAACAGAAAGCAGCTGGTCAGAAAGACATTAAAGTAGGACGTTGGTTGAGTGGTCAGTGTGTCTGTTCTCTAAAACAGCTGTTTTAATGGATCACTCAGGACTTCCCATTCAATTTGTGAATAACAGGCAGCAACCCCCCGACGACCCAATTAGGAATAAGTGGTGTAAAAAATGGATTGATGTCTGAACAACAGACCAAGTCAATGTGAGCTCTTACCCAGCCTACTGGCTTCCTTCCTGATCTCCGCCATGTTTTCCTAAATGAGTTCTGGAATTTCTGAAGAATTTCCATTAATGAAAAAAACTAGGACATGAACTTTATCCTCCGGACCTGGGTTAGGGTTGTAGAATGGACTATCTTCTGACAGCGGTGATGACGGCTTAAACTGAAAACCAAAGGGATACATTTAACAAAAGTAGAAGTTTTTTCTGCATTAGATATGTTTAAACATGTCCATGTTAACTGATTTAATTATAGAGTAATTCTTACCTCGTAATTTTCCTTCATGTGCCCTTTGAGGGCCAGCTGGATGTCACTCACAGATGCATCTTTTTGGTTTCTAGACTCCAAACCCATGGTGTCACAGAGTACAAAGGGAAGAAAGTCTCCATCCTCTTTGCTGATCTTATGAGCCGTATACTGAAACATATGAAGAAAAAACAGACTTTGGTTACTTTGGGATTGTTGGTTACTTAGACTACACATAGTTTTATTGTATCAGTGTCAGAAGCTTTGATAATGTCTGGGGTCAGAACACAGATCTGCTCCACACCCACCCACAGATGGGTCAGTCCTCCCCTCTTTAACCCTTCTCATACAGTGGTCACCTCATGTTTAACCCAAACAGGAGGAACAGATACTGCTTTTCCCTTCTGTTACTGCATCATATCTGTGTGTGTTTGGAAGGAAAAGCTAACAGATGACAGCCTCCTCAGGTAGAGCAGTGACCTGCATCATGCTGTGGAACATTTAACAGATTTGTTTAAAGCAAAGCAGCACATCCATTATAACAAGGACACATAACAATCAGACATGTACATTATAAATGATTATAGCTGACTGAGCAAAACTAAGATATTTATGAGGTCAGACTATGAGGAACTATAGTTTATGGAGCTGACTGACTGATTTGTGTGCAGACAAACTAGTCCTTATCAACACCTTAAGAATAAAGCTACCCCTTCCTGGGCTGCCACCTTACTGAGGTGGAGGGGTTTGATCCTAGGAACCTGGTTAGGTCACCCAAGGCAAACAGGTCCCGGGAGAGAAGCGGGTGACAAACTGTAGCCCAAATACCCAAGGCCCCACTATGGAGCCACGTGGGGCGGGGCACACTGGTGAGCACCTGGTAACTTTCATCCATGGGGCACAGCCCGGCTCAGCCCCCAAAAGGTCATATTGGTCACCCTTCCAATGAGCTCCCTACTTTCCTTTTAATTAGCCTCGGTAAGTGGCACCGAGCAGCAGTGGGCAAACTTGTTGCCCCCCATCTGGGCTCCTATATGTTGGAGTGAATGAGAGAGTAGCCTGCCTTCGCCTTCAGGTGGGGGGACGGGTGCTTATGCACTTAAAAACAGTGCAGATTATTCACCCTGTTTGGAGTCCCTGGAGGGGATGGAAAGTGCCCCACCTGGGGACTCCCTTCTTCTACTGAGGGACTTCAATGCTCACATGGGCAATGAAAATTAGACCTGGAGGGGCATGGTTGGGAGGAATGGCCCCTCCAGCTTGAGCCCGAGTAGTATTTTGTTGTTGGACTTCTGTGCCGGCACGGATTGTCCATAACAAACACCATGTCCAAGCGTAAGAATGTTCATATGTGCTCTTGGCACCAGGACACTCTAGGCTGCAGTTCAATGATCGACTTTGTTGTCGTTTCAGCTGATCTGCGGCCGCATGTCTTGGACACTCGGGTCAAGAGGGGGGCGGAGCTTTCCACTGACCACTACCTGGTGGTGAGTTGGCTCCGATGGTAGGGGAAGGATGCCGTTGTCCCCTGTTAGGCGGAGCTTTAACTCCCACCTCCGGGAGAGCTTCGAACACGTTCCGGGGGAGGCGGGGGACATTGAGTCCGAGTGGGCCGTGTTCCGCGCCTCCATTAATGACACGGCCTCCCGGAGCTGCGGTTGTGGGGCGGTCAGTGCCTGTCGTGGTGGCAACCCTCGAACCCGCTGGTGGACACCGGCGGTGAGGGATGCCGTCAGGCTGAAGAAGGAGTCCTATCGGGCCTTTTTGGCCTGTGGGACTCCCGAGGCAGCCGATGGGTACCGGCAGTCCAAGCGACGTGCGGCTCGGGTGGTCGCCGAGGCAAAAACTCGGGCGTGGGAGGAGTTTGGGGAGGCCATGGAAAAAGACTTCCGTATGGCTTGGAGGCGATTCTGGTCCACCATCCAGCGTCTCGGGGGGTGAAGCAGTGCCCCACCAACACTGTTTACAGTGGGGATGGGGTGCTGTTGACCTCAACTCATGATGTTGTGGGTCGGTGGGCGGAGTACTTCGAAGACTTCCTCAATGCCACTGATGCATCCTCCATTGGAGGAGCAGAGCCTGGGGATCCGGAATTGGGATCTCTAATCTCCGGGGCTGAAGTCACCGAGGTAGTCAAAAAGCTCCTCGGTGGCAAGGCTCCGGGGGTGGATGAGATTCGGCCGGAGTTCCTCAAGGCTCTGGATGTTGTGGGGCTACGTTAGCTTACGCAACTCTGCAACATCGCTTGGAAGTCCGGGGCAGTCCCGCTGGATTGGCAGACCGGGGTGGTGGTCCCCCTATTTAAAAAGGGGGACCGAAGGGTGCGTTCCAGCCATCCCTGGGAAGGTCTATTCAGTGGTTCTGGAGAGGAGGGTCCCTCAGATAGTTGAATCTCGAAATGAGGAGGAACAGTGTGGTTTTCGTCCTGGCCGTGGAACGCTGGACCAGCTCTATACCCATGGCGGGGTCCTGGAGGGTGCATGGGAGTTCGCTCAACCAATCCACATGTGTTTTGTGGACTTGGAGAAGGTGTTCAACCGTGTCCCTCGGGGTATCCTGTGGGGGGGTGCTCTGGGAGTATGGTGTACCGGGCCCTTTGTTACGCGCTGTTCAGTCCCTGTCAGAGTCAGAGTTTGGTTCGCCTTGCCAGTAGAAAGTTGGACCCGTTTCCGATGGGAGTTGGACTCCGCCAAGGTTGCCCTATGTCTCCGGTCCTGTTCATAACTTTTACTGGAAGAGGAACTACATTTTTAGACTTGAGTTCAGTCTCCAATCCGGCTGATTGAGTCTGCTCTGTAGCAAGAAAAGAGTCAGACAAATCAAGATTGTACTTCTTTGACTGGGCCCGCGTAACCACGCAAGCAGGGAAAATGTCAGGCATTGGTTCAAAGACCACACTTGTATCAGGTGTGTCCAACACCTCAGGCACTGCAAAAGAACAGCTCACATCTCCTTTGGCCACTCCAGTGCCACAGCAATCCTCTCAAATGCATTGAAATAAGAGTCCACTTCTGACTCCCTAAACACAGGCACCAAAGCAATATTCCTGCTGACATCAAACTTGGGTTTGTCCGACACCACCTGTGGAGAATCAGGGTACACAGATGAACGAGGAAGTGAGGTGCCACGTGAAAGCCTCATAGCCTCCACCTCTAGCTGTTTCAGCTTAATCTCCTTCTCAGCTTCTATTTCCAACCTGCGCATTTCAAGTTTGAAATCAAACTCAGCTTTTCTTACCAACTCCCTCTCTTGTGCCTCCAGCTGTAGGCGAGCCAGCTGAACCTTGAGTCTGACATTACCACTGGAGCCACTGAGGTCTGGTGACACTGGATCGAATCGTGGTAAAGTCGCAGGGGGCGGCTGTGGCTCTGCCAACCCCCTTGGTGGCGTTGCCGTTACAGCAACTCCTTCATCTTTTGAAGGAGGGAGTCCTAAATCACCAGAAGGAACATCACAAACATCTACATCCATTTTACTTGGGTCCACCAGGACTTTAATCTCAACCAGCTTTTGAACAACAATGTTCTTAATTTCAGCTTTTGAAAAGTGTTTTTTCACTGAAATGCCAAAATGCTCAGCCAGACATAACAAGTCGTCCTTACGACACAAATCCAGCTGTTCATGGCTAGGAGCCTGTACAAAGTCCTCCAAGCTGAAGCTCATTTCTAAACAGACACAAGGATCTCTCAACTTATTATGGATGTTTATAGCTCAGGGAAAGTTCATATCCCGGACAAGCCCCCACTTGTGTTACGGCCACCCCCTTTTTATGCGAGGAGGGGAGTAACACGACAGCCACAACAATTTGACAGAGTCCAGGTGAATGTTTAAAAAAGGGGGAATTTATTGATAACAAAAAAATCTCAGGAGGGGCACACAAACTGTGGGGGGAGAAAGGGGCGGTTAGGTGGTGCCAAATCAAAGAAAATAATAAAACAAAACAGGGCCTAGCTACCGTCTGTGCTAAAGAAACAAAAGAAAACAAAAACCCTGCTTATCTAATCTAACAAAAGTTTCCAACAAAACTTTACATGGGTGGCACCCCTCCTACTTAACTAGTGTATCTAACAGGAAACACCTACGTGATGAGATGTACAGGGTACCCCAAACTTACCTCACCCTCTAACTCCCACCACAAACCTCCACACAAAGTACCACACAAGACATGCGTCATGTAACAACGCCAGTTCGAACCCCCCCCTCTCCCCAGCTGGGCTGCTTAAATAAGGCCTCCCTGGATGCTGATTGGCCCATGGTTAATGAGGATGAAACAAGGCAGATTGACACCAACTTTCCATAGTGCCTGTGAAGAGACAGGGGGAGGGGAAAGAGAAACAGCCTGCAGGCATGTAACATGGAGAAAAAGGATGAGCAAAGTAAAAATACAAAATCAAAACAATGATCATAAAGGATAAATGAAAAACTGGTAAAATAAAAACACAAACCAAAAATCATAAAGATACACTTTCTGAATATATGGTGTACAAAAAAAAAAGTGAACGCTTTGTGTTTCTGAATTTGACCCCTGTTCCATGTCTCACCTGAAGGGCCAGCTACATGAAGAAATACAAACACTGCGATGTCGTCTGCCACCAGATCTGATTGAAGGTATCCGCATGATTAGTTCATTCTAGCCACACTGCTCCTCTGAGGAACAGAGAGAAGCTTTCTCCCACATGCCATCAGCCTGTTCAGTGACTGAGTTTAAACACTTCTGGAGCTGGAGTGAGTCACTTTTAAAGTCAGGTGTACAACTGCTATCACCTGCATAGGATTTAATATGTACTGACTTTGGTAGATTACACAGTTGCATTACAGATTTGTAGGTTTATGTTTTTTATTTAGCCCAATCAAGCATAAGTGTACTACAAAGTCCATCCATTCATTGTCCACCGTTAATACAGGGTCCGGTCATGGGGGCAGCATCTTAATTTAGCTTTTGTTTGGAGGCTTTTCCGGGTTCTAAGGCTCAATTCTCCGGCGGACCCTCCTTTCAAGAACCTTTTAATAGACCTTAACAGGGAGGCTTAATAGTGTGATTCCCCCATTATTTGGGGCTCAATAGTTTTTGCCGCGACAACCTGCATCAGGAAGCCGCCTCAGAGCATATCAATGTCAATGTCCCCAACCTACACTGAGCACCCCCCCCCACCCGAAGGCGAAGGGAAGCTACACTCTCATTCAGGAGGATGAACTCCAATATACAGTCATCAAGACTCAAAACTCCTGCTTCGGTGCCTCTCACCGAGGGAAGACTGGTTCCACAGCTGAGTGTCGAGGCGAGTCTGGCTATTTCTGGCTGGAACCTATCAGCCTCGCACACCTACTCTGGCTCCATCCCCACCAGAAAGGTGATGTTCCACATCCCAAGATCCAGCTTCTGTTAGCGAGGATCGGTCCACCAAGGGCCTCGCCTTGGGCTGCCACCGATACCACACTGCACCGACCCCTTTAGGGCCCTCCCATGGGTTGTGAGTCCATCAGAAGGGTGAGCCATGTCTCCTTTTGGGGCTAAGCCCAGCTGGGCTCCATGGGTTAAAACCTGGCCACCAGGCACTCGCCAGCGTGCCCCTCCTCCAGGCCTGGCTCCAGAGTGGGGCCCCAGTGACCAGGGCCGGGGGAGGGAGCCCTTGGTCCATTTATGTGGAACAGCATTAGAGGTCTTCCGGCCACACTTCGTCTTATCCTTCTTTCAGAACTCCTTCGTTGATAGATTTTGCTTGTTTGCTATTAAAACCAAGAAAATGACCACAGGGTGTGTCGCTCATCAATTGAATGAGCTGTGGTTTGTTGTTACTGTCTTCATCTACAGTTTTGACAAAGGAATCATAGATCTACAATCCAACATTCACACAAAGTTTGAAATGTAGATTAAGTCAGTTTCTCTCAGATAACCAAATTCAAGTTTTGATTCTCTTAATATGCATTACGTTCCTTGTACAGATGTTGAAAAAGCGTTACATGCAAAAAAACGTGTCACACAAAGCCCATCATGAATTACTTCTATCGCTGATGAAATTCTGCAAGAATCATGACATCAAACTGAAAGGTAAACACACATTTAAGGTTGATTATTGACATCATGTGTTAGAAAAACAACCATCTATCAGTGCCCTCACATCACTGCTCCACTGTAAGAAAACAAAGAGCTGCTGCACAGCTGGTGGGAATGGGAGTACAGGAGCATCTCTGTTTAAACCAGCTCTGCTCATTGGTTGGGACTCAGGAGGCCTCTGATTGAAGGTGTGCAGGACCTGAATGAGGATGTACTCCAACACACAGAGTGGAATAGAGACTTAAAACATGGGGGAACATTAGTAAATGACACAAAGCAGTTAAAGAATGAAAACACATGTCAGTGATAATCAGTGAAGCTTTATTAGAGACATCAGGATTAACTATGTTACTGAGACTCTTAAAGCTGCTCATGAATCATTCCCACATATTTGGGTGCACAGATAAAAGAGATTATTAACACAACAATTAACAATTCCATTACTTTGTTACTGATAGACTACAACTCTCTGGGGCTCAGGCTATGACATAAATCTGGTTTTAGGGTTTGGTTGAAGTATTTCAGAAAATCAGTTTTCCATTTGGCTGACCTGCTGAAGACCAGGCTCTCTGGTGTCTTCCTGCTGGCTAAAGGCTGTCGTTAGCAGAAAGGCTGGTGGACATGTTTTCATGTTTATGGAGGACTTTTGCTGTTCTCAGAAGTTTTTAGGCATTTTTTATTATCTCTGTTTTCTCAAGTCACAGACTAAGAAGATCCTCTGCTTTTTCCCTCTTATCTCTTCTTATTTCTTGTCCCTGTTTTCTTCCTCTTTTGTATGATATTTTCTTTGAGGACGTTTTTTATTTCTTCAACAGCTTGCTTGTTCTTCTCACATCTCAGTAAGCCTCCTTCACTCCCGTGAAAGAGAACTTCCACATCAAGCTGAACATATTCATATTTTTCCTTCCATTTCTTCCTTGTTGTTGTAAAGTCGATGTCTCTGGTGTGGTGCATCACAACAAGAATCACAGGTTTATAACCAGCTGATTTTGAGATTAAAGCAGAGAAAAAGAAAGTTAGAAATTTACTTTAAAGACTCAGGGAGGATGATTAGAAGACATTATTCTTATTATATTCTTTAAACCTTCAAGCTATTCAGTAGTTTTTTTAAAACCAGTTTAGCTGTTGGATGAGAAGCATTTTGTTTTTCAATTTGGTTTAAGAAATGACTGATATTAAGACTGTAACTGTGCACTTTGAGACATTTATGTTTGACTTTTATTAATGTGACCAAACTGGTCAAATAGTAATGATGACAAAAATGATACAAAAGCTGAATGGAGGAAGCAGATGAGTTGGAAAAAAAAAAGGCTGAAGGGAGGAATAATTTCAGAGCTGAAAATTAAATTATTTTAAAATCACCAGAAGATAGTGCCAGAAGATAACAAACAAAAGCTGAAAAACAATCAGCAAAGAGGCTAGGTGGATCCACTCAGATACACAAACAGCTGAAGTAGTTAGGGCTTAAGTGGGTCAAGTTTTCAAGGATTTGAAGACAGAAAACCATCAGCACAAGACAGTACTGAGGAAGCAGAAGAAGCCAAAGAAAAGCTGAAAAAGACAGAGTGGAAGAAAAAAGGCTGAAGGGATTAATCATTTTAAGGAGCTAAAAAATAAGGATTGGAAGAAGACAGGCAACATGATTAGAAGAAGAGTAAAGACTAATGGCCATGAAATGATCAATAAGATACAAGAAGATTTAAGTGGGATTTGAACCAGCAACTTCTGGATCTGCAGTCAAACGCTTTACCACAGATGGAAAGGCTGCATAGGACTACATACCAAGAATTTAAAGGGATGAAATGCCAGTGACCAGAAGATGGAGCCATGCTTTTGACTCCATTAATTTCAAAGAGAAAATAAAAGCAGACAAAGTTAGATAACTTAAAAAGTTTAAAAGATTTTAACACAGCTGCATAGTGCTAAAGGAGCAGAACATTTTGATACCTTATTTGTTGAAATAGGCTGCAATCTGTGGGCGTAGTTAGACGCAGAAAAAGTGAAACAGGAGAAAACAATAGTGAGAATGCCTGTAGGCATTCTCACAACTAGAATATGGCTGTTCCTGCAGAACAGCTGTGAGAATGCCATGTGGTGAATGGAGGAAGAAGGCAAAAAAGCCAAAGAAAAGCTGAAAAAGACATAGAACTGAAGAGTTGAAGAAGAATGGAGGAAGCAGAAGAGTTGAAGAAAAAAGGCTGACTGGAAGAATAATTTGAAAGATTTGAACCAGCCACTTCCAGATCCACAGTTAAACCACTGAGCTATACCACAGGATGAAAGGCTGCAGAGGAATTCATCACAAAAATTTGAAGAGGCTGAAAAGGCAGATGGAGCCATATTTTTTGCTCCATTCATTTCCACGAAAGGAATAAGGCATTAAACAAGTTATATATCTTACAAAGTTGAAAAGATTTGAACACCAAAAGTCATAGCTGCATAGTCCTGAGATAGCTGAACATTTTGATACTACCATTTGTTGAAATAGGCTGAAAGGTGTTGGAGTAGCTAGACGCAGTGAAACGTACGGAATATGGAATAATAAAGAGAAACGGGAAAACAATAGTGGGAATCCATGTTGGCATTCTCACAATTAAAAATAACTATTAATAATGGTAAAAAATAAATAGGACTGAATACATGAAAAAAGACTCATATTACCTGGGATTTGTTCCATGGCAGCCTTCATATCTGACTCTATACGAGTGTTGATGGCACAGAACACAAAAATAATCTGACATTCATTCAGATCTGCTTCTTTCAGGTAGACTTCCCGAGATTTATGGACTTGATCCAGCAGCTGCTGATCAGCACCAAAGGAAGCTTCATGAGACGCTCTGTAGAAAGTAACAGTTTTTTTACCTGAAGGACAGAAAAGAAAAGCAGGTGAATGAACCAATCTGACTGATTCCTGATCAAACAGCTTCATCCAGACAGGCAGACATATCTGATGGTCAGACTAGCAGGTTGCTACCTGGAGATCAGCTTTGTGTCATTTACTAATGTTCCCCTCATGTTTTAAGTCTCCATTCCACTCAGTGTGTTGGAGTAGATCCTCATTCAGGTCCTGCACACCTTAAATCAGAGGCCTCCTGAGCCCCAACCAATGGGCAGAGCTGCTTTAAACAGAGATCCTCCTGTACTCCCATTCCCACCAGCCGTGGCAGCAGCTCTTTGTTTTCTCACAGTGGAGCAGTGATGTGAGTGCACATATAAATCGTTGTCAGTGAAAAGACACATTGGTGCCCCTTCTGATGGGCTCACCACTCATGAGAGGGGCCAAAAGGGCAGAAATCCCACCAGCTCTATGGCTTCATCAAGTCGCATTTGAAACTCTCACAGGAGCAGTTTACAGCTGACTGTGATCATCATCCAAATCCGACGCCATGGCCTCGCTCTAGAAAAGGTCAGGGGGTGTCCTTCCCCAAGTGGAGTTCAAGTATCTCACGGTCTCGGGCATGTACCAATCTGTGCTGTTGAAGATATAGCTAAGCCTAAAAAATAAGCTCTTGATTTATTGATTGATATACATTCATTCCCTCGTCTACGGTCACAAGCTTTTAGTAGAAACAAAAAAACCACAGCAGATACAAGCGCCGAAATGGGTTTCCTCTGCAGGGTGGCCGAGCTCATCCGGGAGGGTCTCAAAGTAGAAACGCTGCTTCTCAACATCAAGAGGAGCCAGTTGAGGTGGCATCTGATCAGGACGCCTTCATGTTGAGGTGTTTTGGGCACGACCCATCAGGAGGAGAACCAGAGGGAGACCCAGGACTTGCTGGAGATATTTTGTCTCTCAGCTGAAGAGCTCCTTCAGGATCCTCCCGGAGGAGCTGGCAGAAGTGGTGGGAAGAAGGAAGTCTCGGCCTTCCTGCTTAAGCTGCTTCCCCCACAACGCAACCCAACCCCAGATAAGTGGTGGATAATGAATGGATGGACTTTGGGGTATACTTACGCTTCATTTGGCTAAATTAGATCAGATACAGATGTATTTTATTGATCCCTGAATATTCAGTTTTAACCTATTATCAGAAAAATTATCAGCACTGGACATCAGTTCACCTGCATTGTGGGACAAGATGTATGATTAAGTGAAATATTCATCACATTTATTACATGCATTATCGTCAGTGCATCCATCCATCCATTATCAATACCGCTTATTCCCTGATGGGGTTGTGGGGGGAACTGGAGCCTATCCCAGTGGTCAACGGGCGAGAGGCGGGGTCACCCTGGACAGTCTGCCAGTCCATCGCAGGGACACACACAGGACATACAAGGACAAACAAGTATACTCACTCACACTCACATTAGGTCCAGCCAACCTAACATGCAGGTTTTTGGACTGTGGGAGGAAGCCGGAGAACCCGGAGAGAACCCACAGACACAGGAGAACATGCAGACTCCACCCAGAAAGGTTTTGTGGTTTGTTTTGTTTGTTCTGGTTAAAATTTGTGATGTTATGATTTGTGGATTACTTTTCAGTTGTCTTACTGTCTCACTCTATTTGTTCTGTGTAATAAATAAAACATTTTTACAGAGGAAGGTAAACAGGTTTGGTTTTTTGTCTCACCTTCAGAAGGCTTGGATTCTCCCCTCCCATAACAGCCGGAAACAAAAAAAATTTAAAAAAACAAGTAAAATGATTAAGATGTTTATGTTTATGCATTTAGCAGAAGCTTTTATCCAGAGCTGCTTACAATGTACACACAATTTTACAGTTATCATCAATATGACAATAAGTTCTCCTGTGAAAAATCCCCAGTCAGAGTCAGTGGAGACAGCACAGATACAGAAGGAAGCACAGAAAGAGGAGTAGTGGGGTCCAGAGGTAAAAGTTAGGATAGGAGATGCTCTGTGGAGAGGGAGGTCTGGAGGAGTTTCTGAAGACAGACAGGGACCTGCTGCTGTTCTTGTAGCTCCTGGTAGGTCCTTCCTTCATCTTGGAACAACACATGAAAACAGTCTGATCGTCTTAACGTGGAGCAGCTCTGCTGGACCAGAGCCCGCTGAGGACCGGAAGGTCCAGCTGGGACATGAGCCTTTGAAAGAGGGTTCAAGTATATTGGAGTCAAACCCTTAAGCACTTTGTAGGCATCAGGGACGTGGATTTGGCGCGGGCAGTCAGGGGTAACCAGAGGGGGGAAGTGACACTTTTTGGGCTGATGGAAGACCAGACACGCCGCCGCGTTCTGGATCATCATTCTGGATCCAGGCTGGGAGACCCGTCAGCTGCTCATCAACCGTGACAGCCAAAATGATTTGCCTTTGATGGAGTCAGAGATGGGGATCCAGTCTGGATGTTAATACTGTGGTGTGTGGTTGGTTTCGATGGAAAAACAAGCAGTTAAGTTTTTGAGAGATTCAGTTGGAGGTGATAGGTTTTCATCCATTTTGATAAGTGAGAGAGACTGTCTGAGATGCGTGCTGAGGCCGTGTGGACATCAGGTGGAAATGACAGATAGAGCTGGGTGCCGTCAGCATAGCAGTGGAATGAGAAACCATGTGATTGAATGACCTGGCCCAGAGTGGTGGTGTATATGGCAAAAAGAAAAGGTCCCAGTACTGAACTTTGAAGAACCCCAGTGGTAAGGTGCACCGCAGGAATGTGACCAAGCCAGGATACTTTGAATAATCGACCAGTGAGGTATGATTCAAACCAGGAGTGTGCTCTCCCCTGCAATGCCCATGTTCAAGAGTATAGACAGAAGGATGTCATGGTTGACTGTGTCGAATGCTGCTGATAAGTCAAGCAGGATAAGTACTCAGAGGTTTGTAGCTGCTTTGCCTCTTTTAAGGCTTCTGTCACGGACAACAGAGCCATTTCAGTGGAGTGGCCACTTTTAAACCCAGATTGTTTTGTATCAAAGAGTTTTGTGAGAGGTATTCTGTAACCTGCTTAAATGCAGCCCTTTCAATGGTCTTAACAGAAACAGAAGTAGAGAGACTGGCCGATAGTTTTCCACCTGAGTCGGTGGGAGAAAGGGTTTCTTGAGCTGCGGTGTAACCAGAGCTTGCTTGTATGAGTTAGGACATATGCCTGTTGTCAGTGAGGCATTGATCACGTGTGTGACTGTTGCAGTTACCGTGGGAGCTATGGACTGGAGTAGATTTGTAGGAACAGGGTCCAGCAAGCATGTAGTAGGACGGCTAAATGTGAGGAGTTTAGACACATTGCTCTCAGTGAGAAGGATGAATGAAGAGAATGAAGCCGTAAGACTTCTGCTAGAATCTGTACTGTATCTGTACTGAAGTTTCAGGTGTGGGCAGTTCAATAAACTGTTTGGTAATAACTGTCAGTTTGTTGGTAAAAAATTAGGCAAAAGTTGAAGTGGTAGTAGGTGGTGGAGGAGGAGGGTAGAGTAGGGTTTTGAAGATAGAAAATAGTTTTCGAGAGTCGGTTGTACTGTCAATTCTTTCAGTATAGAAAGACTTTTTGCATTAGTGACACAGATTTTTATATTTTTGCCATTTCCTTTCTGCAGCCCTGAGGTTGGTGCGCAGTGATTTGAGTGTGTTGTTACCGGCCTGAGCATTCCCCTTTAAGGAGATGGCCTGAAACGAAGGAAAGTGCCGAATAAAGCCAGTCCATGTGTTCATCTACTCCGCATCTCCTCCTCTGTGGTGTGCGCAATTAACCCGGACTGCTAGTTGAGACGGGTCTTAGCTTTATGACCAGCAGTCCGTACCACGGTTAGGAACTGAAAGACTGGAAAGGTCACAGTATCATTAAGCCATGGGTGGGACTGAGAGGCTCGGGCAGGTTTAGCGGATAGAGGACACTGACTATCCAAGCGGGAGCTCAATGTGGAGCAAAGGGACTCCATGGCGTCATTGATCTCAAATGAGGAAAATGTTCTGGAGTTTGGAGGGGCAGATGCAACATGGGAGGAGAAGCGCGTGGGTGAAATTTGGTGGAGGTTTCTGTGGAAGGAAACCATGGAGGTGGGAGCCGCAGGATTTTTTCGGAGGCTTACACTGAATTGAATGAAATAGTGATCGGAAAAATGTAGAGGTGTTGTCACAGTTGTGCCCATTTTTTCCCCAGTCCATTCCCCTTTTTTTCCCTCAGCCACCTTTTGTTTTACTTGAGTCACCCGTTCCAGTCCACCTTTTACCTACGGCCCTGTTTTCCCGCCCTGGTATCTTCACACCTGAGTTCACAGCTGTAACGCATTCCCACTTCATTTGCCCAGTATTTTAGTTCCCTCAGTTTTTCCCCTTCTTGCTAGTTCGTTTCATCTGTGAGACTCTTGGTGGATATCGGCAGAGCTCCTCAGCCCTTTTGCCCCTTACTGGACTTTTCCACAGTGCCAGCTCGTGGTAATTCTGTTTGTGCCTTGTGCACCCCTTTTCCTGTTTTTGTGGACATTGCTTTTGTTTTCGTCACCCCTGCTGGGCAGAGTTTTTGTGTTTGGATTTAATGAAGACCTCCTAATAATAAAGACCGTTGAATTGGACTTCCTGGTGTGTTGCGTTTGAGTCCTGGAACACCTGCGTGACAGGTGTGACAGAAAGGGCTTCCATTGCAAATTTCCTTGTGAAAATGAGATCACTCCAAGGACCATTGTGGGACAATCAAATTCATGAATGGCGGAGAGTAAGATGAATGAATGAATGAATGAATGAAGCCTTTATTGTCATTATACATGGCAAGTTCGTCAAGAAAATCACCAAGTTGTGTAGCTAGGCGATATATGGCATTCATGCAGATTTTGACCGGTACAGTAAGATGGCATGGTATTCAAAAGTATTGTATTTTAAATTCTGCATCAGTTGTTCATATTTCCATTTTGGAGAAATTAGAAAGCCTGTTCCTCCACCTGGCCCAGATGTACGAGATGTGTGGGAGAAAGTGTGGTTAATTGAATGGCATCAAAACTATGAATGAACACATATGGAGTTTTATACTTAACCAAAAAGTGTGAAACGACTGAAAATATGTCTTATATTCTAGGTTCTTCAAAGTAGCCACCTTTTGCTCTGACCACTGCTTTGCACACACTCTGCATTTTCTTTGTTGTTCAAAAGGTAGTCAACTGAAATGATCTTCAAAGTGGGATTTCTTGCCTTATAAATGGGGTTGGGACCATCAGTTGTGTTGTGCAGAAGTCAGGTGGATACACAGCTGATAGTCCTACTGAATAGACTGTTAGCTGCTTTTTTCTTATCATAATACAAATTCTAAGTTAAGAAAAACAAGTGGCCATCATTACTTTAAGAAATGAAGGTCAGTCAGTGCGAAAAATTGGGAAAACTCTGAAAGTGTCCCCAAGTGCAGTGGCAAAAACCATCAAGCGCCATCAAGAAACTGGGTCACATGACCTTGGGCGGCCCAGGAAAAGAAGACCAAGAGTCACCTCTGCTGCAGAGGATAAGTTCATCCGAGTCACCAGCCACAAAAAATCGCAGGTTAACAGCAGCTCAGATTAGAGACCAGGTCAATGCCACACAGAGTTCTAGCAGCAGACACATCTGTAGAACAACTGTTAAGAGGAGACTGTGTCAATCAGGCCTTCATGGTAAAATAGCTGCTAGGAAACCACTTCTAAGGACAGGCAACAAGCAGAAGAGACTTGCTTGGGCTAAAGAACACAAGGAATGGACATTAGACCAGTGGAAATCTCTGCTTTGGTCTGAGGGTCAAAATTTGAGATCTTTGGTTCCAACCATCATGTCTTTGTGCGACGTAGAAAAGGTGAACGGATGAACTCTACATGCCTGGTTTCCACCATGATGCATGGAGGAGGAGGTGTGATGGTGTGAGGGTGCTTTGCTGGTGACACTGTTGGGAATTTATTCAAAATCAAAGGCATACTGAACCAACATGGCACCCACAGCATCTTGCAGCAGCATGCTATTCCGTCCTTGTTGCGTTCAGTTGGACCATAATATTTTTCAACTGTACAATGACCCCAAACACCCCTCCAGGCTGTGTAAGGGCTGTTTGATCAAGAAGGAGAGTGATAGGGTGCTGCGCCAGATGACCTGGCCTCCACAATCACCGGACCTGAACCCATTCGAGAAGGTTTGGGGTTTAGCTGGACTGCAGAGTGAAGGCAAAAGGGCCAACAAGTGTTTAGCATCTCTGGGAACTCCTTCAAGACTGTTGGAAGACCGTTTCAGGTGATTACCTCCTGAAAAACATCGAGAAAATGCAGTGCAAAAGAGCAAAAGGTGGCTACTTTGAAGGACCTAGAATAATATTTTCAGTTGTTTCACACTTTTTTGTTTAGTATATAATTCCACATGTGTTAATTAATAGTTTTGATGGCTTCGGTGTGAATCTACAATTCCCACAGTCATGAAAATAAGGAAAAATCTTTGAATGAGAAGGTGTGTCCAAACCTTTGGTCTGTACTGTGTATATATATATATATATACATATATACAGGGGTTGGACAATGAAACTGAAACACCTCTCATTTTAGTGTGGGAGGTTTCATGGCTAAATTGGACCAGCCTAGTGGCCAATATTCATTAATTTCACATTGAACCAATAAGAGCAGACTGTGAAGGTCCAGTTAGCAGGGTAAGAACACAGTTTTGCTCAAAATATTGCAATGCACACAACATTATGGGTGACATCCAAGAGTTCGAAATAGGACAAATTGTTGCTGCACATCTTGCTGGCGCATCTGTGACCAAGACAGCAAGTCTTTGTGACGTATCAAGAGCCACGGTATCCAGGGTAATGTCAGCATACCACCAAGAAGGACGAACCACATCCAACAGGATTAACGGTGGACGTAAGAGGAAGCTGTCTGAAAGGGATGTTCGGGTGCTAACGTGGATTGTATCCAAAAAACATAAAACCACGGCTGCCCAAATCACGCCAGAATTAAATGTGCACCTCAACTCTTCTTTTTCCACCAAAACTGTCCATCGGGAGCTCCACAGGGTCAATATACACGACCGGGCTGCTATAGCCAAACCTTCGGTCACTCGTGCCAATGCCAAACGTCGGTTTCAATGGTGCAAGGAGCACAAATCTCGGGATGTGGACAATGTGAAACATGTATTGTTCTCTGATGAGTCGACCTTTACTGTTTTCCCCACATCAGGGAGAGTTACGGTGTGGAGAAGCCCCAAAGAAGCGTACCACCCAGACTGTTTCATGCCCAGAGTGAAGCATGGGGGTGGATCAGTGATGGTTTGGGCTGCCATATCATGGCATTCCCTTGGCCCCATACTTGTGCTAGATGGGCGCGTCACTGCCAAGGACTACCGAACCATTCTGGAAGACCATGTGCCTCCAATGGTTCAAACACTGTATCCTGAAGGAGGTGCCGTGTATCAGAATGACAATGCACCAATACACACAGCAAGACTGGTGAAAGATTGGTT